CATTTGCATTTAGTATTCTTAAATAATACTATATATACATAGTTTATATATCTGTTTATTATATAAGATTTTTTACATTTTAACTATTATTTATTATACAAATTTGAATATTGATTTAGAGTGGCTATAATGACTGATCATTTCTACATGCTTGGAATGATTCATTTGTTTCGCTAAAATTACTTAGGAATGCGGGAGGCTTCGTTACCATGGTTACGTAACAGAAATATTTGCGGCAGGTTGCTTGTTGCCGATTAAATAAAAAAAACATGAAAACGAGATATCTCGTGAGCCGTCCGCAATGTGTTAAAATGGATTATCAAGTTTTAAAAATTAAATTCTCAATAATTCCGTAACGTACTACTTCATTGACTCTGGAATCAGCAAACATGATCTCAAACCAGTCTGGTTCGACGAATGACTGGTTTCTAATTGTTTCTATCACAGTCTCTGGCACTGTAAAAATGTCTTAGTCGAAAATCTTTATATGAACATTTTCGTTCAAGCATATATCACGATAAAAATCGTATCAAGTTAAACTAAATCCAACTTTGTCATTGTTACAAAACAATGTCCATTAGCCGTATTCAGGGTTCTGTAGCTCAACTATTAACAACATGAACAGGATAAATCTGATCAATCACATAATCACGATGCATTTTTTAAAGAACCGCGCAGGATCGATTTCAATCACACAAATTCTCGCAAAGTGCGCGCGCGTGTCCGGCCGTGAAAGTGTCAGGGATGTAATCCGTACATACCGAAACGTTAAAAAAGACAACTCAAATAAATTCCGAAGTTACTATAAACAACCGTAGCAACAAATTTGTGATCAAAAAGTACAGACATTGGTAAACAACGACACCCCTTGTTTCTCACGAGTCAAATCAGCCTCGCGCCATTAAGAATCCAACCCGATCGTTCGTCGAATCGGCGCCTCAAAAATTGAATTCCTCAAAAAATCGACGCTAACAAGAACCTCCGATACACCCCAGAAACGCGGAACACATCCTGAAACCAAGAAGAGGCTCGGGTGTCGCGCGCGGTTGCCGCGACAAGAACAAGTATCTCCACTAACCTGAATCTGATGTCCGGGGTTGTTGATGTGTAGCTGCTGCGCCTGGTTAATTTGCAAGGAAGAGGTGCCGGATCCCGAGGGAGGCCTCGGCGGCGTGGAGCTGGTGAAGGGTGCTTGCGATCCGGTCTGATTCGGTCCGGCGCCCTGGGATCCCCTAGGCGGCAGGGGATACCCGGGGCTGCCGTGATTAGGCATCGACCCGGGACTGCCGCCGTACGGGGAATACTGCTGCTTGTAGCCGCCGGTAGGTCCTAGCATGCTGGGCTTGCCGCCGGCGGCCGGCTGCGGTCTCTTCATGTCCGCGAGGCCTTGGGCGAACTGCGTTTGGGAGCCGACGAACATGTCGTTGGCCTGCTGGCTCTGGAAGCCGGCGGTGCCGTTGTTCTTGTGATAGGACCCGGTGCCGGTGGTCGCCTGGGCTTGACCTCCGGGCGGGCCTGTGCTGCCAGGGCTGCCGAGGTAGTCCGATGTGCCGCCGAACTGCGGGAACTCGGCGTAAGGGGACCTGGCGGTCGGGCCTCTGGCGGCTGCGGCCGCCGCGGCTGCCCCGGGATTGAAGCCTCCGAGGCCGAGTTGCTGGCTCTTGTGCTGGTGCTGCTCGGCCATCTGCTTGAGGGTCTGGGCCGCGGGGCTCATCTCCGACTTGAAATCGAGGCCCGAGTAGGGCAGCCTGGCGGGCGAGTACTGGGCGGAGCCGAGGCCGCCGGGGCTCGAGTTTGCTGGCAGAGAGCCGCCGTTGTTGCTGGTCGTGCCGTTGTTCACGCTGTTGCTGTTCGTATTCGCGTGCTGCTGGTGAATCGCGTCCTTGTCGTCCTCGATCTTGATCTGGCCGTTGTTCGTCGCGATGTTGTTGTTATTGTTGTTGGCGGCCGCGGCAGCCGCGGCGGCCACCGCGGCGTTGTTCGCCAGCGCCTCCACCGGGATCTTGTCCTCGAAGTCGAAGTCCTTCATGAACTCCGGATGGAAGTCCGAGATCTCCGAGATCAAGTCCTTGAACGCGTCGGACGTGATGATCTCGTCGCCCGTGTCGTCGCCCATGAAGTCCGAGAAGCCGGGGAACCCGCCGCCGTTCGCGGCCGCGTCCTTCTCCAACGCCGCCGCGCACTGTTCAAGGTCCACGAACTCGTTGTCCGGCTCTTGCTTGCACTCCACCAGGTTCCCTATGTCCACGCAACCGATGCCGCCGCCGGCAGCGCCCGGGCCGGACGTCGCTCCGCTGCCCGGGCCCGGCCCGCCGCTGCCGTTGTTCCCGGTCTGCGACCTCGAGGTCGCCGAGGCCGGCGTGTCCGGGCCGGACTTCGGCGACGACGACGCGTTCAGCAGGTCGCTCTTCACCGAAGCGTTCGTAAGCGCTTTCACCGTCACGTTCGTCGAGATCTGCTGGGCCTGCGAGTTCGCCGCCGACGTCGTGAACTCCAGCTGTTGCACTATTTCCACCGAGAATTTCGTCAGGCCTTCGTTCCCGCCGCCGCCACCGCCGCCGGCGTTTCCGCCGCCACCGTGGGCCGGGCCCGTCGAGTTTGCTCCGTTGCCCGGCGGGTGCTGCCCGTGGCCGTGATGAGGCCCGCCACCGCCGCCGCCGCCCGGGCCCTGCTGGTGCTGATGCTGCGCCTGCGTACATTGCAGCTTCACCGGCGGTTCGCCGAAACCACCGTCCCCGCTTCCGCCGCCGGCTGTCTCCAACTCCTCGGCCGTCCTCTTTACGAATTTTTGCTGCTGAAACCAGAAACAAGGGGAACATCAGCTAGATTCGTTTGTGGGTCGTAAGGGCATAGGATTGCAAACGGATCGCGAGGCGATTTCGCCGATGATCGCGTTCTTTCGGACTAATTCTTCTTGGCGATAAGAATTCTTTGCGCGCAGTCACGCCTGTCGCCGTAGTCGAACGTTTGTGGGAGGACAGTTTCGATTCCCTGGTAGGTTAATTAACGCTGGACGAATAATTAACGACTGGACTGCGGGTTTCGTGCGTTTGCGACGGAAATGAGGAGATCGAATTCAAAACGAAGGCGTTTGAAGAGTTTGAAATGATGCGACGACCTTTTTCAGCGGTAGCCAAAGGTGTGATATAATGTATTTGATTTTTGTTTCATTCGTTCGGGATCAAGATAATTTTGTACCGTAACTATATTTATAGCAATATCGGTCTTTTCGACAGATATATACAGGAAATTCTCCCCAATTGTCCTTCAGCTTGTAAACGAAAATCTACAATTTGGGAAGAGGAGATACAATTATTTGAACTCTGCGCCTCGATTTCGTAGGTGTTGACAATGGGCAACTATAAAAGCGAGGCGCAAGGCTGGAATACAAGCTGAAGGACAATTGGGGAGAATTTACTGTACTTCTCAAAGCGGGAAAGTATCCTATAATCTAAATTTTATATCTAAACTATATCTAAATTACCGAACCTCAAATCGTTTATCAGATACTTATAAAAATTATTATTTAGATATTTGTATAAATTATTATTTAGATATTTGTATAAATTATTATTTAGATATTTGTATAAATTATTATTTACATATTTGTATAAATTATTATTTACATATTTGTATAAATTATCATTTAGATATTTATATAAATTATTATTTAGATATGTATATAAATTATTATTTAGATATGTATATAAATTATTTATACAAATTTAAAATAATGTTTAAAAATTTTATACAAATTAATTATTATTTAATGGAAATTAAATTATTATTATTAAATTAATTATTATATTAATTTAAAAAAATTTACATAAAATGTTTGTAACCACACGAACCAAAGAGCGCTTGTAGGAATTCGAAATTCGTTAGCCACATCCTTCTTCTTTTTCAACGCTCTTCTCATTGCCTCGATTACTTTCATTTTCTTAGCAAGTGCTAGTGTATTCGAGGGATAATTAGCGTCTATTTCGCGGTAATCCGCCGGCTGGCCGAGTCGGCGGAGAAAAGAGGCGAGCCCGCGAGAGGGAACACCGCCGCTGGAAGGCGCCACGGAGGGATTCCGTTCTCCCAGTGCCACCCACGACGAGATCGCAGCCGGGCAAGCAGCGTGAACCGGGAGCCGGTGGAAAAACGGGAGGAACGCGGTAATGGCTTCTAAATCCCGCGGTCGCTGCTCGGCCTTGTTTCCCATTTGCAGCGAGCGACCGGTTGCGTCGCGTCGCGTCGCATCGCGGCGGATCGACGACAAGCATCCTGGCTCGTGGGTCAAGGCAAAACGCGCGGATCTCGAGCAGGCAGCCGAGCAGCCGAGTCCTTTAAACCCACCGGTTTTTCTGGGAGCCCGGCCGCGGCAACCGGTAGCGCAGGATATTTAACTCGGGGAACGGGATGCCTCGCTACGCCGCGCCACGCCACGACGTTTCTTTCGCAATTAACCCGGCGATTTCTCACCGCGCCTGTCAATACCGGCCACGCTTTTTCCGCGGACCCTCTTTGTGCGGCTCGCCGCTGATGCCTGCTGCCCGCTTAGGCTCGCGGCCACCCCGCAACCTCCATGAATCTCGAGCGATACCATGCGTGACTGTATGCGACGCACGGTGCGCCGAGTTAAGGGCAGTTCGGGGACAAAAATCGAATTCTACGATTTCGTAGTTTGTTCGTGCGTGTTTTAACCCTTTCGCTACTACGGGCCACTATAGTGGCCCTCCATAAGATGTCACTGAGGTACTACGGGCCACTATAGTGGCCTTTCGTATGATGCCACTGAGGTACTACGGGCCACTATAGTGGCCTTTCATAAGATGCCACTGAGGTACTACGGGCCACTATAGTGGCCCTCCATAAGATGCCACTGAGGTACTACGGGCCACTATAGTGGCCCTCCATAAGATGCCACTGAGGTACTACGGGCCACTATAGTGGCCTTTCATAAGATGCCACTGAGGCACTATGGGCCACTATAGTGGCCTTTCATAAGATGCCACTGAGGTACTACGGGCCACTATAGTGGCCTTTCATAAGATGCCACTGAGGTACTATGGGCCACTATAGTGGCCTTCGATAAGATGCATTATATTGCATAATGTTATTTCCTCTCATACTGTAAATTAAAGAGCGCATGCTAAGACGTTATAAATACCCTGGAATACCCTTTATTTATAAATACCCTTCGGAGAGAAATTTTTTCGTACGAAAACATTCAAGCAGCTTGGGTTCTCCGCCGCGGTACTCCCGCTGACGATCGGCGTCGCGTAGCGTGCAGTGATGTCGCGGCGCTCCGTTCAGCGGAAGTACCGCGGTGGAGAACCCGCCCGTAGCGAAAGGGTTAAAGGATTGGAGCAATATTAACCCTTTTAGTGCCGGGCGAAAAAGAGGCGCTTGTGCGAAGGATAACCGGCCGAATTTTACGATTTTAATAGGATTTCGAAAAAGGCTCATAAAAAACCAAACGGAAAGCAATANGCGGAAGTACCGCGGTGGAGAACCCGCCCGTAGCGAAAGGGTTAAAGGATTGGAGCAATATTAACCCTTTTAGTGCCGGGCGAAAAAGAGGCGCTTGTGCGAAGGATAACCGGCCGAATTTTACGATTTTAATAGGATTTCGAAAAAGGCTCATAAAAAACCAAACGGAAAGCAATATTTACATAATTGAAAAAGCAGTGTATTAAGGACAAAATAGAGAACAAAACAGTGACGCGATCTTTTCTCTCGCAATGAAATTAGACTATTTGTAACGTATTTATTTATTTATAATGCTGCAAGGTGCGGGCCGATATATCGGCTCTGGCACTTTCGCCAGTGCAGTGAGGGCCGATATATCGGCCTCCGACACTAAAAGGGTTAACACGTTGAATGCCACGCTGGTTTTACAGAAATTGTCCATGGCGCCACGATGAATTTTCTTTTATGTGATACATATAATGTTGAAATATTATCTGCGATAGATAAGTTACAGTGTAGAACCATGTTTGACATGTTAATTGCGACAGGGGTCACTGTTCGAATCGACGATGGTAATAATACGAAATTTTAGATATTGACATTTGTTTTATATTATATATATTTCTATCAATTTGGGCGCGCCGGTCACCGGTGGTCCCCATGGCATCATCGCCATATTAAGTGCCGGGCACCGGTGACCCCCGGGCATTCAACGTGTTAATCCTTTGGGGTCGAGGAATTTTTCAAATGAACTTTTCGCTGGATTGAATATAGTGTAAGTCTGGTAGAGTTCGGCCAGCGCGAGAGACCGGCCACTGTAAATATCTCGAAACGACGACGCGGACCTTTATGCAAAATACAATTTGTTTTCATCGATTGTATATAAATTGTATATAAGTAACCTAGACATAGGAGCCAAGCACAATATTTTTTCTTCTTTCATAATTTTAATAAATTCAAATTAATACATCAACATTCTTTGGTTTTTTAATCTTTATACTGTTTTAAATTACACCTACTCATTTCTGCCATAAATGGATAAAATCGGCAGTCTAGTTATCAGCGACTCGGAGAAGAATAACCTCGTTCTGTTATGGAAATCATTCAGAATGAAGAAGAGCTTATCAACGAAGCAGCGAAAGAGATCGCAATGCAAGCGGTTGAATTAAATTCGGAAAAATTGAAGACGAGTGATTTTGGTGTTCCATAGGGTAAGTTTGGGAGAGTTCGGCTAGCGGGAGAGACCGGCCAGTGTAAATATCTCGAAACCACGACGCCATATGGAGTTGTGCTAAAAGTCGGAGAAGACTTTAATAAATTGATTGTTGATCACGTATTGTAATTCTCGCGAAACTGTATCCTGACCTTGCAAATTGCGTTTAAAGCTTTAGGCGGATCCGAAAGTTTTTTCGCTAATATATATTCTTAGCAGTAATCGACAAATAGGTNCGGAAAGCAATATTTACATAATTGAAAAAGCAGTGTATTAAGGACAAAATAGAGAACAAAACAGTGACGCGATCTTTTCTCTCGCAATGAAATTAGACTATTTGTAACGTATTTATTTATTTATAATGCTGCAAGGTGCGGGCCGATATATCGGCTCTGGCACTTTCGCCAGTGCAGTGAGGGCCGATATATCGGCCTCCGACACTAAAAGGGTTAACACGTTGAATGCCACGCTGGTTTTACAGAAATTGTCCATGGCGCCACGATGAATTTTCTTTTATGTGATACATATAATGTTGAAATATTATCTGCGATAGATAAGTTACAGTGTAGAACCATGTTTGACATGTTAATTGCGACAGGGGTCACTGTTCGAATCGACGATGGTAATAATACGAAATTTTAGATATTGACATTTGTTTTATATTATATATATTTCTATCAATTTGGGCGCGCCGGTCACCGGTGGTCCCCATGGCATCATCGCCATATTAAGTGCCGGGCACCGGTGACCCCCGGGCATTCAACGTGTTAATCCTTTGGGGTCGAGGAATTTTTCAAATGAACTTTTCGCTGGATTGAATATAGTGTAAGTCTGGTAGAGTTCGGCCAGCGCGAGAGACCGGCCACTGTAAATATCTCGAAACGACGACGCGGACCTTTATGCAAAATACAATTTGTTTTCATCGATTGTATATAAATTGTATATAAGTAACCTAGACATAGGAGCCAAGCACAATATTTTTTCTTCTTTCATAATTTTAATAAATTCAAATTAATACATCAACATTCTTTGGTTTTTTAATCTTTATACTGTTTTAAATTACACCTACTCATTTCTGCCATAAATGGATAAAATCGGCAGTCTAGTTATCAGCGACTCGGAGA